GACCAGATGCCGACCTTGAGCCGCCCGTCATCGCCGTCATCGGAATCCATGGCTGCGGCCGGAATGGTTGCCGTCGGACTGCCGGAGTTGTCATCGCCGACCTAGGGTCGGAACCCTAGGCCGGCACTTCTCTATTCACGATCTCCCTCTTTCCTATCCGTCTCCATCCTTTTATAACTGAAATTGAAGTCATTGAATTACTGAAGAAGTCTGTGTGCGATCCATTTCTTTGGCCATGTTTGCCCCTTCACGTTTCCTTCTTTTTCTTTTCTTTCTTTTATTTTGTTTTGATATTTCATACATATAATGAATGCTTTGGTCAACATGAATGGATTTCACTGCTCCGTATTAATTGGGCCAACTTTGATTTTGGCCCAATCACTTCTTCCTTTCTTTAATTTGACTCCAATCTCCAAAGGTCTAGCTCTTTATTTCCTTCAACTTTTGATGTTTTAAAATCTAAAGAATTATGTCAAGAAAAATAATACTTCCAAAATAATTATCAAATAATAGAAATGCTCAAAATCATGCATTTTATGTATAAAATGTAACCAGTGGCCTAAAATGCTAAATAGAACAAAATATGATTATTTAGGAATAAACTACCTATAAAATGTCTTAAAACTCCTAAGAAATGAAGGAATAAAATAGGACTTTTTGTGACTTAACAGTTTTCTTGAGAGCATGAAGGTCGTTGATGATTTTTGAGAATCGATCTTTTCGCCTTCCCTCATACTAAACATCTCATACTCCTGCGTGAGGAAGTCAATTTTGGTTTCCGGAACTTGGCCCGTACCTTCGTATGTGACCTCCAGCTTGTCCCACATTTCTTTGGCGTTGGTGCAGCAAGAGATCTTGCGATAGTCATTGGGGTTGACCGCGCAGTAAAGCATGTTGATTGCCTCAGCGTAGTTTTCCACCTTTTTGATTTCTTCCGCATCAAATTCGTCCTCAGTCTTTGGGACGAGTTTCTCCCCAACCTTCTTCATTGGTGTTTCTTCGCCGTTCTTGATGACCAACCACAACTGGAAGTTGGTTGAGCGGATATAAATTCTCATCCGCTCTTTCCAATATGTGTAGTTGGTGCCATCAAAGAGTGGTGGCCTAGAAGTTGATTGACCTTCTCTGATCCCTGCATAAAGATTTCTAGAAGAAGAACCCATGATCGCTTTTCTCTCAAACGGTTAAGTTTGGACGCGAGTTAGGCTCCGATACCAATTGTTAGAATAAAAGACCAACGCTAGAGGGGGGGTGAATAGAATTTGATCGTAGAAATCGCAGGAATTAAAAATTTAAAGGAGAAGTAAAGAGAAAAGTGAGAGGCACACCAAATTTACCCTGGTTCACCACAACTTGTGGCTAATCCAGCCTCCCGAGAGACTCTCTCGAGCTACACTACTATCTTGTTAAGCTTAACGGTACTTAACAAACCCTTACAACTTGAGAATTCGAGTCACACAAACCTCAACGAATCCTTCGAAGGAAACAGCCCTTCCTACGAATCAAACAAGAGAGATAGTTCTCTCAACGTGTCTTAGAACACTAATACACTCAAGAACGAGACTCTCTTTAAGAGTAGATATTGAGTAAACTAAGTACGCTCAAGAACAAATCAAACATCACACGGATTGGCTCTAGAAAGCTATGGAAAATGATATTGTTTGAATGCAATGAAATTATGAGAAATGTGTAGTGAATTGGTTGTTAATGCAGACCTAAGCACCCCTTTTTATAATGCCAAAATAGGCTCCAGCGGACCAACGCATTAAAGGAGTTATTGGCATGATTTATGGGATTGATTAAAATGTGGATCTGCAGAATTATGGCTTTCCCAGCGATGTATGGACTTACCCATCACTGGTAAGGCAATTTTCCTTCAGTTATGAAGCCAACGGTCACCTACCCATCGATGGGTAAATGTTTCCCATCGCTGGGGGGGAGGTTGACTTTTAAACAAGGAAAGAATCAACCTTAAATGACTTACAACGGTCATGCCTAGTCAGTGATGGGTATGCCTTCCCATCGATGGGTTCCCATCGATAGGTAAAATTTCCCATCGCTAGGTAAGGTCATTGTGCCTTGTGTTAATGTTGGACCAAGGCTTTAACAGCGATGGGTAGAACTTCCATCATTGTTTGGCATGGTTCTCGAACTTAATTGGGCTAAAGGTCCGCTTACACATCGATGGGTAAGTCTACCCATCGCTGGGTGGATGGTTAGTCAAAAACCCATGGCTTTTGCCTGAACCATGGCCTAGCCAACCGACGCAAACACCGACCAAAAAATCCAAAGTTCTCCAAAATAAAAACCAAGTGTTTAAAACACTTATTTGATGTATTTGGCTAATAAATCAAGTGAGACACTTTAAAAACAATGTCGTTTGGGTAAAAACCACGGCTAGCCAAGTTTATGCTATTTTACGTGGTTTTTGCCAAACGACCAAAAACGAAAGGTGGTTTTCAAAGTGTTTTTGTTGGAGACCTGTTTAAACATGCCAAGAAGTAAAAACCAATCATAAAATGTTGAAAACCACTTGGTTGGTTCGGACGCCAAAAAACAACGCCGATAACCGAATGCCGAACGCCGGTTTTTGAAAGCCGAAAGCCGGTTTCTGAAAGCCGAATGCCGGATGGCTTGGTTTTTGGTTTGGGCGAACACAACGTGTTTTTAATGTATTAAACATGTTTGAAAAACATTTTTATGATGTGCGAAATGCAATGAAAATAATTTTAGCCTAAAGAGCCAAGGTGTAAAGGTTGGGTCGGTCTTGATCACAATTGTGACAGACTCAACGACACTAAGACTACGGTCTTCGTTCTTGGTCTTCGTTTAGCTCTTGTTCTTATCTTCCTTCTTCGCCTTGTATGTTCAATGTGTTGTCTTGATCACAGCGGTTTGGCATTATCAAAACCTGTGATAAAAACGAACATGGATTTAGTACGAAAACGTGACAAGCCCGTGTTTCAACAGAACACATTCGATAATCAATTGAAATACCCTTCTAATTTTTCTTTTACTCAACACTCTTATTTGATTATGCATTTTCCTGATTTCAGAATGCAAAAGTAACATAATTTTTCTTTCTTTTCAAAACGATTTAGGTTTTTAAGGGTTCCTCATTAACTCTTTGACCACCGGTCAAACAAAATTAGACTTTCACGAAAGTCAAACCACTTAACATTTATTGCCTATGACGGAGATAGCCTCAATCCGTAATACCGAAGATAGCCTCAATTCGGTGGAGGTAGGATCCCTCGGGCGATAGCCTCAAACCCAAGATCACAGACCCTCGTGCGCACGTCTTAACCTCACTGACCAGGCCCTGCAGCCGCCCGAGCAATGGCTAGTTTCTATGTTCGACATATTAAACCAATTGATCCTAATTACTGTTTAGAATTAATTAATTAACTTAATTAATTCATTAAAGTTCTTTGATTTAACCATTAGGTCAAACCTACGTCAATGGAATATCCAGTCAAAGCCTAAGTCAAACAGGACCTAACCCAAGTCAAAGTCAAACTTGTTCAGTCAATTCATAATCCTCAACAATTCAATTCAAATAATCAATTTAATTCAATTAACCAATTTAGCCAAATTATAGCATAAACATATATAACGATCCGAACCATTAGATCTATTCTAAACGCTACTAACTTCATAGTACGGACCTGGATTACGTAGAAATCGAATCGATAGCTCGAACGGAAGGCAAATCAACGAAATCGAACGAACAACGGGTCAAATTGAGTCAAAACACAGAATCGAACAATTAATCTGGCGTGGAGATTAATCTGCCGGCGGTATCAATCCGGGGCAGCAGCTGGATGCGGCGACGGTTGCGGGCGCCGGCATACAGTGGCGGAGCGGGAGCTGTGCCAAGGGCGACGGCTGGTAGAGGCAATTGGCGGTGATCAGCGTTCGGCGTGGCTGCGCTGCAACTCGACGGCGAGGATGGCAAACGCCGGTAGTGGAGGCGACGAACGTCAGCACGAGGATTGGGAACCGTGGTCGGCGGCGCTGACCCTGGCAGTGAGCGATGGACTTCTGGCGAAGGGGAAGCAGCGGCGACTAGCTGTGCTGGGGAAGGACGACGACCGGCGACTGGCTTATGGCGGCAATCGAAAACGATGAAGACGAAGATGAAGATCCAGGTCGTGCAGCTCTCAGATCCGAACGGAAGACGCGTACCTTATATGCCTTATTTTAATATTAATAGGTTTAGGTTTTACTTATTAATCCCAATACTAGTGGTTTAGGCTCCGGGCCCAAAATACCTGATTAAACGGCCATAACATGAGCTCCATAACTCCGATTCGCGAGCCGTTTGAACCGACGTGATCACAAAAATATTTCCTAGGAGATGACATAAAAGTTGGGCTTAGAATCCATATTATAATTTTAACCCCCTTTTTAGGCCCAATTCGTAATCAATTGATCTAACGAATTTAATTAATTCTTTTGGGCCAGATTTCAGGGCGTTACATTTCTCCTCCCCTTAAAAAAAAAATTCGTCCTCAAAATTACCTGAGTCATTGGTCGCCGAAGAGATGAGGGTACTGAGTTCGCATAGATTTTTCCACCGCATGATTACGCCATAATACCTTTACCAAAGGTACCGTCTTATTCCTTAGTACTTTAGTTTCGCGCGCCAAGATCTTAACTGGCTCTTCTTCGTAAGACAAACTCTCATCGAGGGTTACAACATTGGTCGGCAACACATGAGTCGGATTTGAACAGTATCTACGCAGCATGGAGACATGAAAGACGTCGTGAATCCTGTTCAACTCTGGTGGCAACTCTAGCCTGTAAGCAACAGGTCCTATTCGCTCTAGAATGCGGTAGGGTCCAATGAATTTAGGGCTAAGCTTCCCTTTCTTCTCGAACCGTAGGACCTTCTTCCAAGGTGAAACCTTCAAGAATACCATGTCACCAACATTGTACTCTATGTCTCGTCTCTTTAAGTCTGCATAAGATTTCTGTCTCTCCGAAGTGGTGCGGAGTCGGTCTCTGATCACACGAACCTTCTCTTCGGTATCCTGCACAATATCTGGTCCCTCGAGCTTACGCTCGCTAAGCTCTGTCCAACAAATCGGGGTTCGGCACTTTCTGCCGTAGAGTGCCTCATAAGGAGCCATCTGAATACTCGCCTGGTAACTGTTATTATATGCAAAATCCATTAACGGCAAGTAACGCTCCCAATCTTCTCCAAAGTCGATCACACAAGCTCGCATCATATCCTCGACAATCTGTATCACCCTCTCAGACTGGCCATTGGTCTGAGGGTGAAATGTCGTACTATGGTTCAAAGCTGTGACAAAAGCCTTCTGGAGTCCTCTCCAGAACATCGAAGTAAACCGGGGATCTCTATCGGATATGATTGACAGCGGTGCACCATGCAACCGAACTATCTCTCTAATGTATAAGTCTGCCAATTTGTCCATGGAGGAGTCACGTCTGACGGGTAGAAAATGAGCGGACTTTGTCAGCCTGTCAACAATGACCCAGATGGCGTCATTCTTTCGTGAAGATCGTGGCAATCCGATCACAAAGTCCATAGTGATCCTTTCCCACTTCCATTCCGGAATGGTAGGAGGGTGCAGCAACCGTGTCAGAACCTGGTGCTCAGCCTTGACTTGCTGACAAGTCAAACAGCGCGCAGTGAACTCGGAGATTTCCTTTTTCATAGCCGGCCACCAATAGGATTTCTTCAAATCCTGATACATCTTGTTACTACCCGGGTGCATAGTGTATACGGTTCCGTGAGCCTCGCCCAACAAGCGATCCTTCACTTCACCGCGGGGCACCACTAGGCGTTCAAGATAATACAAGACTCCGTCATCGCGAATTGCAAACTCGGGCCTCTTTCCTCTAGGAATTAACTCTCGAGTCTTCTGACAAAACTCATCATCTCTCTGTGCTGTACAGATCTCCTGCTCTAACAGAGACTGAAGCTCTAGCTTGGCTAACGATTTTCTGCTCAAAGCATCGGCCTCGATGTTAGCCTTGCCCGGGTGATACTCAATGACCAAATCGTAATCCTTGATCAGCTCCAACCATCGACGTTGTATAAGATTCAATTCCTTCTGGGTGAGTAGATACCTCAAACTCTTGTGATCGGTGAAGATGTGAATCCTCTCTCCAAAGATGTAGTGGCGCCAAATCTTCAGGGCAAACACCACGGCTGCCAACTCTAAATCATGTGTCGGGTAGTTCTCCTTGTGAGTCTTCAACTGTCTCGATGCGTAGGCCACTACCTTACTCAACTGCATCAGTACACAACCTAAGCCGCTATGAGATGCGTCACTATAGATGGTATACTCGATGCCAGGAGTAGGTTGAATCAAGACTGGTGCTTGTGTCAAGCACTGCTTTAGCTGATCAAAAATGCGCTGGCGCGCTTCTGTCTACTCAAATCTGATGTCCTTCCGCAGTAGCTTGTTCAATGGAGTAGCGATCAAGGCGAAGCCTTTAACAAATCAACGATAGTAACCGGCTAACCCAAGAAAGCTCCTCACCTCACGAACATTCCGCGGAGTCTTCCAATCCACTATGGCTGAGATCTTGCTGGGGTCTACTTGGATACCGATGGCAGAGATAACATGTCCTAAGAATGTCACCTCCCTCAACCAGAATTCACACTTGGACAATTTTGCATACAACTTGTGCTCCTTCAACACACTCAAAACCAATTGCAAATGTCTAGCATGCTCCTCCCGAGTCTGTGAATAAACCAAGATGTCAACCAAGATATCATCGATGAACACTACTACGAACTGGTCCAAGTATGGTCGGAACACACTGTTCATAAGCTCCATGAACACTGCCGGGGCATTAGTCAATCCGAAAGGCATGACCGAGAACTCATAATGCCCATAGTGTGTCCTAAAAGCAGTCTTCGGAATGTCTTCTCTCTTGACTGGAATCTGATGGTATCTAGAATGCAGATCAATCTTCGAGAATGCTGTAGCCCCTCTGAGCTGGTCGAACAGGTCGTCGATGCGAGGCAACGGATAATGATTCTTCACTGTGGCTTTGTTCAACTTCCTGTAGTCGATCCAAAGTCTCATGGATCCATCCTTCTTTCGAACAAATAACACCGGCGCTCCCCATGGGGAAACGCTAGGTCGGATGAATCCCTTTTCCAGTAGCTCTTGCAATTGAGCCTTCAACTCCTTCATCTCGGTAGGTGCCGTACAATACGGTGTAGCAGATATGGGTTCCGTACCCGGAACGAGATTGATCGAGAAATCTACCTCTCTCGGCGGAGGCAAATCAGGAAGGTCTTCGGGAAAGACATCGGGGAAGTCGCAAACTGTAGGGATGTCCTGCTGACGTGGTGATTCTTTCCGCATATCCTGAACGTGACACAGGAACATCTCGCACCTCTTGCAAATCAAGCGCCTCGCGCTCACGGACGATATAAACTCGGGAGCCTTGGGGAACACCTCCCAGGAGAGTGACACGTTGCTACCGTCCTCGGCTCTCAGCCGTACGGTCCGACTACTGAATTTGACAACTGCTCTATGCTCGGTGAGCCAATCCATACCAAGGATAATGTCAAACTCCTTGTGGGGTAGCTCTATCAAATCTGCAGGGAATTGCTTCCCTTGCACGGACAACAGACACCTATGATAAATGTGATGAAGATGCATGCTATGTCCTAGCGGATTCGATACAATGGTCGGTATCTCAAGGTCACTCCTCACGATCGCAGACGTAGCAGGCATGACAACACAGATATAAGAGAGTGTGGAACCCGGATCGATCAAGGCATGCATAACCGAATCAAATAGTATGAACGTACCCAGGATAACATCGGGATTAGGATCTGTGCACCCCTGCATGGCGTAGGTACGCGCTAGAGCACGGCCTGTCTACTGCGGACGTGGTCTCTGCTGATTATTTGCGGCAGGCTGTTCCGGAGCTCTAGGAAAAACAGGCTCGCTGCTAGAGTTTGTCGGGAAATGCCTCCTGAAATGCCTTGGCTGACCACAACCCAAACATAAGCCTTGGGCGAGCCAACACTCGCTCGGGTGATGCCTACCACACTGTACACACTGCGGGTGGCTCTTCGTTCTGATCGCGTTGCTAGCGGCGGTCGATGGAGGTGGCTTCGACTTACTCCTCTTAGGCGGCGGCGCACTCGAAGAGCCCTTCTCATACCTCTTTCCCCCGAATCCAAAACTCTTCCCGCTCGGCCCGGCACTGGCCGCGGGTCGCGGGTCTTTCGTCGCTCGATCCTCCTTCTTGGTCGCCTGCAAATCATCAGAGCTCTTTTCCGTTTTCACAATCAAATCATACGCCGCATTAAAATCTGTCATCCTGATCAGCGCGGCGTACGGTCTCATGTCCGGCCGTAGCTTCTTGACGAACTCATTCAAACGATCCTCCAGAGTGGAGACTAGACTCGTCGCATACTGGGACAGGTAGTCGAACTTCTGTCTCAGTTCAGGCAACGACATCCCCTCCTGCTTAAGCGCAACGAACTCATCGCGCCTCTCCTCGCGGTACCGAGTGGGGACGTACTCCTTCGTGAAAGCTCGATCAAACCGATCCGAGGTCCAAGGCTTGGGCGTGTGTGGATCCTGGTCAATGCGCTTCCACCAATCATATGCTCCCTTCCGGAACATCTGTGATGCCAACTCCGAGCGATTTGCATCAGAGACTCTCAAATTCTTGAGTACCCGGTCCATCTGCTCAAGCCAATCCAACGCAATCTGGGGCTCCCCCATCTTGTCTCCTCGAAACTCTTCCGCTCCATTATCCTTCAATGTCTTGAAGGTAACGATGCGCGGCTGCGGTGGTGGCTAGAACATGGGCATAAACTGCGTCATGAACTGCATATAATGGGCCATCATGGCCGGGAACATCTGCTCGTAGGCCACCTGCGGCATCGCCAACGGTGGCATCACTGGAGGTGGTACGACTGGAGGTGGTGCAACTGGCGGCTGTCACGCTGGCATAGGTTGATTCTGCTGCCCTCCGTCACCCGGAGGCGTGAAACTCGAACCCTCGGTGTTCACTGTATGCACGCTCACGTGCTCCGGCTCAGGAACGTACTGACCATGGGTCGATTCTTGACTCATTCAAAAATAATAAGGAAATTCCCAAGTCAGATCCTAACATATAACAGATAAAGCTATAAATACTTATTACCTTCTCGGGGCAGAGGAGTTACGTGAGATGCAGATGTGGCTGAATTATTCATTATATTTTATTTTGAAAGGGTCCAAAGACCGATTTTAAAACCAAATGCTCCGATACCAAAATGTAACACCCCAACCCGCGTAACCCGAACCCGTGAGACAGCGGACCGGTGTGCCACTGGATTGGTATCCAAACATACAACATTTTCAAAAGAATTTAAAACAAACATTCTATCAATACTTATAAAATCCATTGGAGTAATTTAAAATAATGCAGAAGCCTTTTAAAGTCAAACAACTTGGGATCTTTCCCGAAAACGTAATAAGCATTAAAGTTAATTAAATAAAGCATAGCTACAGATTAAAGAGACAGCCACGCCATCGTACATCTCCTCTTCAATGCCCTCCGGGATCGGCTCTTGGTTCATCTGTTTGATCACCTACGGACAGCAAAAGGAAAACAACGCTATCCGCTCAGCATTGACGCTGAGTGGCACTCCATTGTAGCACAAGAAAAAACATAATAATTCAATAATTAAGATCACACATATGTTTATCCTTTTAATAAAAATCAATTCAACTTTAAATTCGGTTCTTTAGACGGTTGACCAACGGTCAACTTATTTTCTTTCTTTTCAAAACAATTTAGATGTTATGAATTCCTCATTAACTCTTTGACCACCGGTCAAACCAATTTAGACTTTCACGAAAGTCAACCCATTTAACATTTATTGTCTATGACGGAGATAGCCTCAATCCGTAATACCGAAGATAGCCTCAATTTGGTGGAGGTAGGATCCCTCGGGCGATAGCCTCAAACCCAAGATCGTAGACCCTCGTGCGCACGTCTTAACCTCACTGACCAGGCCCTGTAGCCACCCGAGCAATGGCCAGTTTCTATGTTCGACATATTAAACCAATTGATCCTAATTAGTGTTTAGAATTAATTAATTAACTTAATTAATTCATTAAGGTCCTTTAATTTAACCATTAGGTCAAACCTACGTCAACAGAATATCGAGTCGAAGCTTAAGTCAAACAGGACCTAACCCAAGTCAAAGTCAAACTTGTTGAGTCAATTCATAATCCTCAACAATTCAATTCAAATAATCAATTTAATTCAATTAACCAATTTAGCCAAATTATAGCATAAACATATATAACGATCCGAACCATTAGATCTATTCTAAACGCTATTAACTTCATAGTACGGACCTGGATTACGTAGAAATCGAATCGATAGCTGAACGGAAGACAAATCAACGAAATCGAACGAACAACGGGTCAAATTGAGTCAAAACACTGAATCGAACAATTAATCTGGCGTGGAGATTAATCTCCCGGCGGTATCAACCTGGGGCAGCAGCTGGGTGTGGCGACAATGGCGGGCGCCGGCGTACAGTTGCGGGGCGGCAGCTGTTGGCGGTCTATCTTGTTCAAATTTGAGGGGATAGAGAGAAACCAAAATAAAAAAACTGAAGAAGAAGATGTGCTAAGGGCGACGGCGGCTGGAGGCGACGAATGGCAGCACGACGAGGTTACTGGCCGGCAATTCGAACGGACGATGGTGGTTCTGGCGATTGGGAACCGTGGTCGGCGGCGCTAACCCTGGCAGTTGGCGACGGACTTTTGGCGAGGGGGAAGCAGCGGCGACTAGCTGTGTCGGGGAAGGACGGCGACTGGCGACTGGCTTATGGCGGCGACTAGCTGCGATCGGAAACGATGAAGACGAAGGACCTCGTGCGGCTCTCATATCCGAAACAGAAGACGCATAAATACCTGAACCGTAGGACCTTCTTCAGTTTTACTTATTAATCCCAATACTAGTGGGTTTGGGCTCCGGGCCCAAAATACCTGATTAACGGCCATAACATGAGCTCCTTAACTCCGATTCGCGAGCCGGTTGAACCAACGTGATCACAAAAATATTTCCTACGAGATGACATAAAAGTTGGGCTTAGAATCCAAATTATAATTTTAACCCCCGTTTTAGGCCCAATTCGTAATCAATTGATCTAACGAATTTAATTAATTCTTTTGGGCCAGATTTCGGGGCGTTACATGTCATCAAAGAGATTCATGGCATAAGTGTTCACAAGAGCCCTATCCAGTCTCCTCCAAACCTTGCCTAGAGCTCTTTTTCCTGCCACGTGAAAATTCCACTCTTTGGTGGAATGTTATTGAGATCACAAGAAGCAATGCAATAGGAGAAATCTTCCATTCCTTTAAAGCTAGGCAAGATAGGTCCTCTATGTTCATCAAGGCTACAAATAATGTTAAAACCTCCTCCAACTATCCACGGAGTATCATAGGGTATATGACTTATCACAGAGTTCCAGAGAGGTTGACGTTCCCCCTCGGAATGTAAACCATAAACTGTGGAAATAAGGATATCCCTATTGAGGAGATTGTTGTGAAAGAGAATGCTGATAATTTGATCTCCAAAGATGCTGTTGACACAATGAAGGTGGGAATCATCCCAAAATATCCAAGCTTTATTGTTAAAGTCCACTAAAAAGGACTGAAAGCCAAGCTTATTGGCATAAGAGCTGATTTTTTCCTCTTTAATGAATGGCTCTAGAATAGCCAGAAAATGAACCCTATGTATTTGGATGAGGGAAAGAAGCTTGGGTAATGAGCCTCTTACCCCTCTAATAATCCAAAATAACAGGTTCATGAGGGGCCAAAAGGGGGCTCAACTAACGCTGCTTTCATGCCCCTAGTCTGGAAGGAAAGCTTAACAAAATTCTGTGCATACCCCCCTCCTCTAGTAATGAGATGGCCTGGGCTCCCAGGTTTTGGAGCATTAAGTTCGAAAGGTTCAAGTGGGGATCTATCCATAACCTCATGACCATATTGATCTTAATGAGTAGAAATATCATATATATCTTCAAGATTAGAATCCTTCAAACCAAGGACTTGCTGAAGGAATTCATCACTGGCTCTGTTTCCCTTAGATACTGCCATGTCATCTGTACTTCCTTTTTACATGTATTTCTATAGAAAATGGTCTTCCAGTGGGAAAAATGGCTCTGGGATGGAGTTCGCTAACACCAGGGATGGGGCCGAAGAGAGGTATGGGGAGGGCCTATTAGTGGAGGTAGGGAAATGGGCCTGAGAGGTGTTTGGAGTGTGGGCCTTGGTAGAGTACTCATGGCCTGCTGAATCCCCTTGTATTGTAGTGCATGGCTTGAGTACTCGCCGGATTTTGAATTCTCACCGGACCTTTCTCTCTCATCCTCTGTATATATGTGTGTGTTTGTGTGTCTATATATATATATATATATATATATATATATATATATATATATATATATATATATATATATATATATATATATATATATATAATATAATATATATATATATATACACAATGGCTAGAGAGAGAATCACGCCGGAATCCTCTGGTTTTCCGGGCAGTTATCCGGCAAGTCACCATGAGAAATCATTCAATACATTTCCTAAAAGTTTCTATAGCCAGCATACACAACCTCAAGTTAAGAAATTTTTCAGTCAGATTTTTCAAGAAGAAGGAAATAAAGTCCTGGGAAAGATTGAGGCTACATTCAATGAGATGCCATCAGCCACATTCACCCTTGATGAAGAAAGATGGCTTGGCAGTAAGCTGCAGTATGCCCTGGTTGGAAGAGGAGACAGATTCATCAATGTCAACATTCTCAAGAGCTTTCTTGAAGGGATTGGGTTCCAGGGAGGATTCAAGTTACGTAGACTTCTCAACAATGATGTACTTATTCTCTTCCACAAAGAGGAGGAATACCTGAGATTCTTCATTAGAGGTACATGGATTATCAACCATATTAAGTTTTATGTTTCCAAATGGTCCCCTGAGTATTCACCCCACCAAGACTGCTCTGTAGTTCCCTTATGGGTTACCTTCAGCAAATTCCCCACACATTTTATTAACCCAGTGGCATTATTCACCATGGCTAGCACCATTGGCAAACCTTTACTCATGGATTTCCAAACTGCCAGCCTTATAAGAACCAATGAGGCAAGGTGTTGTATTGAAATAGACCTTGCAAAACCACTCCCCTCTCAAATTCATATTAGAATTGGTCCTAGAGATTTAGTCCTACCTTGCAAGTTTGAAAATGTTCCAGGTTTCTGTCAACAGTGTCACAAGCTTGGCCCTAGTAATTTTATTTGCAAGATTCATGGTCATTTTCAAAAATCAGCCCCTAAATCAAGCAAGCCAGATAAGAATCAAGCTACAGATACATGAGAGTGGACTGTGGTTAAAAGTAAAAAATCTATTCAGAAGGATGCCAGAGTAATTTGGGATACGGGGGGTCCCACTAGTGATAGATCTAAGAGGAGTGATGGCTGGATATTAGATAATCGATCTAAGAAGTGCCAGGCAACACACTCTCTCATTAACCACAAGGTAACTATGGAGAAAGGATGGACATTGGGTAAAACCAAGAGGGGCCAGGCAACTTCCTCTAAAGTTACTATGAGGGATGGCTGGACATTGGGAATAGACAATCCCAAGAGGGGCCAGGCTACATCCTCAGTGGGCACAGTTGGGAATGGCTGGACATTGGGTAATAATTTATCCAAGAGGAGCCAGGATACATTCACCAAATCCAAACAGATATGGGTTCCATTACTCAATTCAGAAACCAAGGGGCAACAGAATATAGTGGAATCTGGGACCCATAATCCAGTTACAACAACTTCAAGCCAAAAGAGTAAGGGTCCAGTGATAGCTTTTGACAGTCCAGACACTACTGGTGTGAAGAAAAATAGTTTAATTATTTTCAACTCTCCCTCTCAAAAGGATATTGTTTCTGACTCCCACTCTCCTTTTTGGGGTCTTCATTCCATCTTCAAGGTTCAGGATCACTTTCCATCATTCTCAGCAGCCAGAAATTTTGCCACTAACTTATTTCTGCAGAACAATGAGAAAGGAAATTCCAATCAACTCAACACATTATGAATTGTATGTTCTGGAATGTTTGTGGAGCTGCCTCCTCCCTAAACAGGCTAAAAGCTCTTATCTCTTCTAACCCTATTGACTTTCTTTGTCTCATTGAACCCATTGTAGCTGACAAGAAAAGGGAATGGTATAAAATCTCATTGGGGTTCTCAAACTCAACTGGTGGTATTAACAATAAAATGTGGATTTTTTGGAAAGATAACACTCTTTAGTTTCTTGATTCCAGAGAGGATACTCAATGTATTCACCTAGACTTTTGGTGCCCTATCATCAACAACAAAATCAGATTCTCTTCTGTCTATGGGGGTCATTGCTCTACTGTCAGAAGAATACTCTGGGAAGATCTCATCAATGCTAGCACAGATTCCCACCCTTGGATTGTGGGTGGTGACTTCAACACCATCCTTAGCCTGGATGAACATAAAGGCTCCTCCTCTCCTTATTATAAGGACTTGGAAGATTTTAGTGATTGCATTGATGCTTGTGGTCTAACAGCCCCACATTTCACTGGTGGAATCTTTACTTAGAGTGGCACAAGAAGTAAAGGAAAGCTTTGGAGAAGGTTGGACAGGGTGCTTCATAATCAATCAGCTATTGAGGCCTTCAAAGAAATCAATCTCACCCACCTTAGCAAGACAACCTCAGATCATAAGCCTTTGCTAATTCAATGCAAAGAAGAAGGGTTTAAGGGCCCCAAACCTTTCAGGTTTCTTAATATTTGGACTACACACCATAGTTTTTTGGAAGTGGTTAGTAATTACTGGGCACATAGCCCTAGAACAGGAGGAATGACTGGCTTTGCTAGTAAACTTAAGGGTTTGAAACCTGTTCTGGCCCACTGGAGCAAGAATCATTTTGGAAACATTTTTAAGGAGGTTAAGGATAATGAAATTAAGGCAGCCAGAGCCCAAGAGGATTTTGAAAATGACCCAACAGAGGAAAAGAGAGCTCAGGCTAATCTAGCCTCAGCTAATCTGATCCTTAGCCTTAATAAAGAAGTGGACTTCTGGAAACAAAAGGCTAACATCAAGTGGATGTCAGAAGGAGATTGCAATTCCAAAATTTTTCATTCATTTGTCAAAAGCAAAAGAAGAAAACTTGCAATCAAAACAATCCATGATGATCAAGGCAACATTTTGACAACTCAAGAGGATATTTGCAGAGAGGCTATTCACTATTTTTCTAATTGCTACACCACAGTCACTAAGTCAGATGAATCCATTATTTCTCAATACATTGATCAAGTCATTGATGACAGAGACAATCAACTCATCTGCTCTATTCCATCTGAAGCTGAAATTTATAAAGCTATTATGAATCTTAATCCTCATAGTGCAGCTGGTCCGGATGGTTTCAATGGGTACTTCTTTAGAATTTGCTGGAAGATTATCAAGGTGGATGTCTTTCTTGCCTGTTAGGAATTCTTCTTGGGATTTCCAGTCCCCAGATCATTTGGTAGCACATTTATTACCCTCATTCCCAAGATTGAAGATCCGAAAGGGTTTGGAGACTACAGACCCATATCCCTCTCCTCCTCCATGAGAAAAATTAATACAAAGATCCTTGCTACCAGATTGGCCACATTGCTGCCCAAATTTATCTCAGAAGAGCAGACAGGATTTCAAAAGAACAAGGGTGTTGAGGAACAGATTCTATTGGCTGAAGAAATGGTGCACATGCTAGATAAAGAGGTAAGAGGGGACAATTGCATTGTCAAGTTGGATATGGCAAAAGCCTTTGATAGGGTGGAGTGGAGCTATCTTATTAAAATTTTGGACAAACTTGGGTTCAACTTACACTCACAAAAGCTGCTAATGGCCAATCTAGTAGGTACACATCTCTCTATTCTTATAAATGGCACACCTGCTGGTTTCTTTCAAATGAAGAGAGGGGTGAAACAAGGTGATCCTCTCTCACCTCTTCTCTTTTTGATTAGCAGTGAGGGCTTCACAAGAATGATCAACCTACACATGGAGTCCACCTATCTGGGCAGCTACAACACAGGCAATCACCCTTTGATAAGCCACTTGGCTTTTGCAGATGACCTAGTGGTTTTCCTCAATGGGGACACTAGAAACTTGAAAAAATTTAGAAGGATTTTAGAGGACTATCAGAAAGGGTCTGGGCAACAAGTGAACCTTAACAAGAGCAGCTTTTATACTGGGAAGAAGGTCAACCAAACTAAAATTGCCTCAATGTCCAGAAGTCTAGGTATGGATCATGGGACACTCCCCTTCACTTATTTAGGTGCAACTATGGTTAAAGGCAAGTTAAGAAAACAACATTGTTCTAAGCTCCTGAATCACTTTGACAGATATCTTAACTCTTGGTTTAGCACCACTCTCAATCCCATGGGGAGACTTGTGTTGATCAAACATGTACTCTCATCCATACCTTTACATATCACAGCTGTCCACACCATCCCCCAATCAATTATACAGATTCTCCACAGAAAGATGGCAAATTTCCTATGGGGATTCAAGAATGGTAAACCTAAATACCACTGGAGCAAGTGGAACAACCTGTGTGTACCAACTAATGAAGGAGGACTTAAC